GTTGAGGGATGGAGATTATCTGGGGTTTCCTTGTCCAGAGATGAGGAATTATCTGGGGGTCTCCTTTTCTAGGCTAGAGATTATTGGTGGAGGTGGGACTGTCTAGTCCAAAATTGGGGGTTGAGGACCAGATTTGTTCAGGCTAGGGATTGTGTGGAAAAGAGAGGGGGGAGGTGTGTGCATTCTTGTGTGTGTGTATGTGTGTGAAGGGAGTGGTTTATTGGGAGCTACGGATTAAGGATTATTTGGGGGTTGAGTTTAAGGAATGGGAAAATTACCTGATATTGAGGAGGGGGAAATTATTGGGGGAGTAGTGATCCCCGAGTTGAAGATTATTTTGGGACTGGGCAGCTGTTTGTCCTAAGATTTGGAATAAAATAGGACCAATGATATCATCAGGGGGCCAAACATTAGGTTTCTGGTGTAGGGTGGGTAAGGGAAGGGGGAAATTAAACCAGAGGCAAGGGATTATGGGAGGGGAGGGGTTGTTTGGTGAGTGTATGGGAAATGTCCAGAGAAGGGCATTGCTGGAGGGCAGGGGTGGGGCATCTGGAGGGGTGGGTGGGTTGGGGGAAGGATCTAGTATCTGAGAAGAACTAAAGCTGAGATTTATCTGGGAAAGGGGGTGCTGGAGGTAGGAATTGTTGGGGTTTGGGGAGCATTCACTGCCCTGGTGTGACTCAACCATCTTTGCAGTGAACACTTTTTTTTTTGTCATTGTTTTTATATCATGGTCATTTCCCAATTTACATTTCCACCCACTCCTCCATTAAACTCATTCTGCACCAAAAAAAGCACACTTGAGCAAAGCCAAGGGAAACGGTATCTGACAGTGCATACTACCACATTCCATCCCCATGGACACCTCCCCCTCCCAGACTGAGAGGAGGGAGGTGTGTCCTCATCTGTCCTCTGCAAGTGAGGTTGTCTTGAAGATCCAGTAGAGTTCACACTGTTTTAGAGCTGGTTTCATTTACCTTAGCGTGATGATCGCACGTATCATTTCCCCGATTTTCTTCTTCTGCATTTCTTTATGCCAGTTTTGCCGTGTTTCTCTGGATCCTCCTGACGGTCATCTCTTACAGGGCATGTTTCACTCATGAGCCATTCCTTAGTCATTTCCCACCCAATGGGCTTTGTTTCCAGTCATCTTATCACAAACATACAAAATGATGCTATGAATATATTGGTATATTTGGGGACTTTCTTTCTGCCCAGGACACTTTTCAATGGGATGGGCATTGAGCTGCCAACAGGTGAGCTCTTTAGCTGGGAAAACCGACTTCCTCCTCCTGCTGCCAAGAGAGCCGTGGAGAACCTGCCAAAATCCACCATCACAGGGGCCCAGGCTGGTGAGGGGCCGCCTTCCCCCAGGCCCTCCTTTTTCTCTGCCACTTCCCAGTTACCTGTTTGATCTTTATGGAACCAACATTATTCCCTCCCCTTCTTCCTCTACCCAGCATGCAACTAACTCCCTGTTCAATCTTCCAGACCAGGCTGGGTGAAAAAAAAAATTCAATGAGGGGGTCAAATACCCCTAGAGACTGGCCTGCCTTTGAGGAGACAACACTGGGAGGGATTGGGGTGGGAAGGTGGAGGAAACAGGGCCTGATGTGATGAGCTTCCCCTCTCAGACGCAGGTGTCAAGTGCCCTGTGTGCCTTCTGGAGTTTGAGGAGGAACAGACTGCCCTGGAGATGCCCTGTGAGCATCTCTTTCATTCAGACTGCATCGTGCCCTGGCTAGGCAAGGTATCCCCAGCTTCCCAAACAGTCCTTCTGGTGTCCAGCCCCATTAATATACATTGGCCTGCCCATCCATAGATCTTGAATATCGGGGATATTCAAGAGACAGACAGACAGAAGCTTTCTTCTAAACATAACCTTAAGGCACAGACCCCAGAGGTGACACCATGGGAAGGGAAGAGAGGGAGAAATGGACCCTGGACCATCTTCATTCCCACTCTGTCTTCCCAGACCAACAGTTGCCCTCTGTGCAGATATGAGCTGCCTACAGATAATGAGGACTATGAAGATTACAGGAGAGAAAAGGTAGGGCCAGGCTTGGGGGAGTGAGTATCCCCTGCTGCCAGACCTGAGATGCCCCATGGCAGTGTTCCCTTCCCTAAATCGCAAGGCCAACTCTAGTGTAGACAGGAGAATAGTGCTAACTCCAGTGGCATCGTCCCCCTGATGGGTTCAGAAGACCAGGATTTGAGAGACTGGATGATTAGCTAAGGTTTTTTTATACCTCTCAATTCTAAGATCCTCTTCACTCTGTAACCACTTTTAATGATCTATGACTCCATGGAAGTGGGAGGGGACTAGTCATGTCCTTCTTTCCAGAAGTCCAGTCCCATAAGTCCACCAAAGGGCCCCATGGCAGATCTGGGTGTGTGGGGAAGTGGGTTGTGTGGGGACATGAACTAACATGGGCCTTATTGCCCAGTCAGGGAAGGATCCGGAGATGTGCCTGGATCCTGCTGAAAGGAGGGAACGTCTCCTCTCAGATCAGGTCTGTAATAGCGGGTGGAGGGGGGTTGTGATGGGAGGAGGGAAGAGGGGATCCCTGGGCCTGAGTAAATGATTGAGCCATTCATGATGGGGGTCCCTAGGATGTGAATATAATGGGCAGAAACTTCAGTGTCTTACCTCTACATTTTGCTTGTACTGATCTAGCAGTTGAGGTTCTGAGGACTGCTGAAGACCTATGAAGTTGGGGTTTCTTCAGGATATAGGAGGTATAGGATCAATAAGGGTAGTGAGGCTTGCTGATTGTGGTCAGAATTAGGATGAGGGGAATTTGGTCCTAATTGCTCAGTGCTAGGAGATGAGCAGGGAGTGATCCCAGGGTACTCAGTCCAGTCCTGCCTTCCGACCAGATGGGTTGGGAAGGGACCATTGGGTCATCATGAGTTAGGGAGTGAGATGGGGAGGGGTGGGCAGTGGAAGATAAAAATGAAGGAATCAGGCTTCCCCAAGGATAGAGTAAGCTGCTTTGTGAGGTAGTGAATTTCCCATCGTAGGATGTGGAAATGTGAAATATCTGGGCTGTAGAAGAGAATTCTTGTTCAGATCCGGTTGAGCTTAGTTTCCTTCCGAAGTCCGTTCTACCTCAGGGGTTCTAAGAGGCAAGTGGAGTCTGGGAGCTGAGGGAGAACTGCTGAGGACAGAAGGGCTGGCTGCCTTGGAGGCTACAGAGGGAAAGGCTTGGGGAGATAGGAGCCCCTCTCCAGTCCACATTGATAACCCTCGTTGGCCCCTGCCATTCCAGAATGCTTTTGCCAGGGCAAACAAGGCCCTGGCTCTTAAGCAGCCTTGGGCAGACTTGGACGGGAACATTCGGTGCCGCCTCTTCTTGGGCCTGATCATCACGGCCTTAATGCTGCCCCTCCTGAAGTGGATTATTGTGGCCACCACGGAGCGTCCTGTGAATCTTCATAACCCAGCAGCAGCGTGGCACCAGGGGGCCACAGCCAAAGGTTGGGGGTTTGATCCAAGGCCGGGAGACTAAACTGCATCATGGGGGATGAGAAGCCAACCCCACCCAAACCACTGGGCTCCCCTAAGGAACACTGGTTGGTGCTGGAGTTGAAGAATCCCTGAGGAGCTCTCTTTGGGGGAGCTGACTCCCCCAGCTGTACCCCTGCACGATGCCCTCTGCCCCTGCCAACTCCCCGTCCCCCTGGGGTACAAGCTAAATCACCCCTTGCTATGTAAAGCAGAATAAAAACCCCTCTTGGGTAAAAGACCAGAGTCTGGATTCTATGTGAAGTGCTCAGGGGAGGTTCTCTACTTAGGGGGTGACAGACTTGTTAGCAAACCTGTTTCCCATTCTCAAAGGACATCTTGTCCCCAACTGAGATGGACTTTTCCAATAATATCTGTTGTTGACTCTCTAGGTCCAGAGTTTTCTCCCCTTGCTCCTCGTGCCAAAGACAGCCTACCCAGGAATCAGAGCACCTGGATGCAAAGTTCACCCCATTGCTTACTACGCTTGTGACCTTGGCCAAGTCACTTGTCTCAAATGAGAGGGTAGAATGAAATGGCCTCTGAGGTCTGTTACTGTTCTAAAGCTATGATCCTCCAGGGCGCTTTGGAGGGCCCTTTATAGTGTTTGCAAAGGTATCAACCTCACATAGAAATGAGGGCCACAGATCAGTACATAAGGACCTTCCAGGGTCACATATTGATTCAGTTTTAAATATATTTAAATAATTATATAGTTAAATAATTCCCTGAGAGCCCTGGGCACCCAAGCCATAAAGGGCATGAGCTGAGAAGGTGCTTGCATCAGGGAGCACCGTGCCCCTCAATGAGATCTTAGTAGGGTCCACTTGGCTGAAATCAGGATGGGGTGTGACAAACCAATGGGCATTTAGTAAGTGCCTGCTCTGTGCTAGCCTTGTGCTGAGACTCTAAAGAAGGGACTACCCCCATCCTCAAAGGTCTTAAAGCCGAGTGCACATTGGGGTCAGAGGCGCCGGGGTCACAGTCCAGAGATGCTACTTGGTGACCTTGGACCATCAATTGGACTGGACATTCTCTACAATTCCGATGTAAGTGCTTTGATGCCAAGAAGGGCAAAGAGCGGCCCACGGGCAGGGCGGAAAGAAATGACGCTCCCACACAGGCAGCCTTCCCGGAGGAGGTGAGACTGAGCCCAGGCTCCAAGGCCAAGTACCAATGTGATTATCGGCAGAAGACCTCGGGTGCGTGGGGGCAGCACTGAGACAGTAGGGGCCGGCGCAGCCCTTACCTGGCAATCTGCCCTGGCTCCGCCTCCTGAGGCCAGCAACCAATGAAAACCTGGGATCGCGGGCTGCCTCCATTGGCTCGAGCTTCAGACCACCTGATTCACACAGACCAATGGAAAAGTGAGCTTGAGGTTTCCGGGGTCTCGCATCCCGGAGGGGCGTGGAGTCCTCTTTTTTGAAGGCTCTGATTGGACGTTTTGACGGAGGCTGGTCTCCCATTGGCCAGAGTGGCGCGAGAAGGGCGGTATCACTTCGTGCCTCATCACTGTGTCAGGGGCCCCTTGCCGGCCAGGTTTCACGGTTGCTATGGCGTCCTACTTTGAGGAGCACGACTGCGAGCCGGGAGTGCCGGAGGAACAGTACCGGCAGAATGCGCTCCTGGAGCTGGCACGGTGCGCGGGGGCGTCATCGCCCGGGGCTGGGCCGGGGACGTGATCCGGAGCTCCGGAGGGCTGGGCCGGGGGCGTTATCAGGGGCTCCGGAGGGATGGGAAGGGGCGTTCTGCGAGGCTCGGGAAGGACGGAGGGGGCGTTCTCCGAGGCTCCTAGGTGTGCCTGGGGCCCAGGGAAGCAGTTACTGAAATGGAAAGTCCTGGGCTAGGGGAGGCTTTGGGAGACATCAGAGTCCTGGTGTTAGAAATCATGTGGGTAAAAGGGTCCCAGGAAAGAGGGATTGTTGCCCTGATCTAACAGCCCTCCTCCTGTTTCCAAATGCTTTTTCTAGGACACTTTTCAACGGGATGGACATTGAGCTAGCATCTGCCGACTTCACAGACTGGGACCACCGACTGCCTCCTCCTGCCGCCAAGAGAGCTGTCCAGAGCCTGCCAAAAGCCATCATCACAGGGGCCCAGGCTGGTGAGGGGCCTCCTTCATCCAGTCACCTTCCATTACTCTTCAGCCAAGGCAGACCCTAGCATTCTTCCTCCGCCCTCCCCACCCCTAGCTCAGTCTTGGTCTGGAAGGCCATAGTGCTGAAATGGATGGGGGGGTGGTAAGGTGTGATCTATGCGGCAGAGTGTACCCAGGCTAATAAGAGTTTTCCTACCAGACAAGGGTCTGAAGTGCCCTGTGTGCCTTCTGGAGTTTGAGGAGGAACAGACTGCCTTGGAGATGCCCTGCCAGCACCTCTTCCATTCAGACTGCATTCTACCATGGCTGGGCAAGGTATCTGAGATTTCTGCACAATCTGCCCCCTGCCCTCTCTCTTGTACCCATTTCCCTCACCATTTGTTTACTTCACACACCCATAGACCTAAACTTTATTCCTATTCGTGTTGGAATGTTAAGGATGAAAGTCACAATCAAATGAGCTGTAACCAGAGGAACTGAAATTGGAAAGAAGTAGAAAGGGGACCCACAAGTCCCTCCCTCTTCTCCTATGCCTCCTAGAATCCCCAGCTCGCTCCCATACTACCTTTCTACACGAGGCTTTTCCCAATCCTGCCACTTGCTAATCACTTGGTATTTATTACTCTGTGTACAAATTGTTCCCATCCAAAAAAATGTAAATGCCTTGAGGACAGGAACTGTTTTTGTAGCCCAGATACCTGTAGCACATTTAATAAATGCTTATCAATGGAATGATCACTCCCATTGTTTACCTAGACCAACTCCTGCCCACTCTGCAGATGTGAGCTGCCCACAGACAATGAAGAGTATGAAGCGTATAAGAAAGACAAGGTAAGTACAAATGGAATTGGCCTGACCCTCCAGGATGGGGAAAATAGAGCCCACCCTCATGGCATTTCCCCTACCCAAGCTACAGAAAGCCCTGGCCTGGAAGTCAAAAGACCTTGAGTTTGAGGTTTGATTTTGCCTCTTTGAGACTGTGTAAATCTGGGTAAGCCAGCCTCTGTCAGTCTGTTTCCTTTTCTGGAAGACAGGTATAAACATGTCCACCCTTGGCCCGTCCTCAGGCTTCTGTGAAGATCAGTAGGAACCACACGTAGGAGGATGCTCTGCAAGGCTGTGTCTTTTTGACTTCTTTGGCCCTCTCCCTGTCCTACAGGACAGGCCCCTGGAGGGAGGCTAGGTAACTACCCCTCCTGGAATCAGGCGGGCTTTCCCTTAACTTTTCCTACTCTCCCCCTGTAGGCTCGGCGGCAGCAGCAACAGCATCGTCTTGAATACCTCCATGGAGCCATGTACACATGATGGACTTCCTTTTCCCCCTCCCATTACTTTTCCTCGTGTCAATTAAACGGTTTCCTCACCCTGAGCAACAGCACCTTTGCCTGGGAGGATCTGTGCCCTGAGAAAGTGGAAGCCTTGCTTTCATTCCATCTCTGCTAGTGGAAGGAGAGTGGGTGGGATGGAGCAGTGGGCTTCTTGGTGCTCCCTTCTCTCCCCCTCCTGGAGAGCTGGCTTCGGATGGGGAAGATTCAGTGCAGATGGGAGACAGGAAAGAACCAAAGATTAAGGCCTTGAGTTCAAAGGACAGTCATGAATCCCTGGAGAAGGGAAGGTAAAGAACCTTACTGGCCACCGTCCTAAACTTAGAATAGGAAAAGCTATCCTTAAGGAAGGAGTAGTGGGCAGCCCACTTAGGGGGCCAAGCTTCTGGGGGTGTGGTCCAGCTCACAGCACTTCAGAGTTGGGTGGGGTCTCTGAATGGAGACTTCACAGTGAGAGAGAGAGAGAGAGAGAGAGAGAGAGAGAGTGTGTGTGTGTGTGTGTGTGTGTGTGTGTGTGTGTAACCAAGGACCCAGCCTAAGTCTGCCTCTCCAGCTTCCATTGTTCCTAACTCTGCTCCCCCTGGACACCCTTCTCCCCATTGGAGCCAACCCTTCAAACATCTGAACCCAGGGCCCCTTGGCCTCAGCCAGACTTCTGTCTTTCTTGTGTCCCTTTTGAGCCACCTTCATGTGGCATCTTAAAGTCCATGACTGTCCCTGTTGCTCTCAATGCTCCTTCAGCTCATCAACACCCTTCCTAAAATGGAGACATTGCAGTCTTGGGTCCAATGAAAAGCCCTTCCCCCAGCTAGATGCTCAGTTCTTCAAAACAGATCGCCAAACACTCAAGAGTTAGATTTTTTAATAGATATAAAAAAGTACTAAAATATCCGTGTGGTTCTGCTGGGTTACTTGCCCTAATGGAAGCAGGGAGGAGCAAAGGGAAGGAAGTCTCAGCAGTCTGGAAGGCTGAGCCTGTGGGCATGGTCTGAGAGCTGGGGGGAGGGGGGCTCACTAGCTGCCTCCTTCCTATACCCTTTGCTTTGTCCCAGCCCCCAAAATTCCTGCAGAAAGACTCCAGTGGCCTGGCCTCAGAACCAGTGGGGAGCAGAAGGCACCATAAGGGCTGGATTGGTGAATAAATGAGGATAGGGAGTGTTTAAAAAAAAAAAAAAGACAAACAAACTGAAAACAATACACTGGGATTGAGCAGACTGTTGCCCCCCAGGCAGCCAGCAGGGGTCGCTGCTCTTTCATGGCACAGGTGTCAAGTTGAGGACATTGATGGGTCCTCCCCCAAAGGGAGGATGCACCCCATCAGTAATACTTTCTTTAAAAAAAAAAAATCTTTTTGGTACAAAAGAAACCCAACGAAGCTGGAGGAGCGGGGCCTCGGCTGTCCCCCACTGACCTCCTTCCGCTTTATATCATGGCAATGCTCTCTGGTGCGCAGTTGAGGTGGGTGGAGGTGCTACTGCTCCCTGGAGACTTGCAGGCCCGGCCAGGGGCCGGCTGGAAGGCAGCCACCAGCGTGTCTGTGGACACTGCCCCAAACTCGTAGCTGAAAGTGCCGTAGAAGATGAGGATGTCCATGACGAAAACCCACTCGGCCAGGGCAGCCACGTGTTGGAGCTGGGAGCTTTCGTGGATAAAGAAGATGCCACCTGTGGCCAAGGCTAAGGAATCCAACCGCTGTGGAGACTGCCCATGCCCCTACGCGGGAACTGTGCGTTCAGGGAGTTGATCCGTATGATACCTTCCCAGCCTTCCCCCTCGCTCCCCCCACCCCCAACCTTACTTGGGCTGGAGGAGGGGCAGATGGGAGAATTCTACACCTAGAAGCAGCCAGATGGCCCAGGGAGGCAGGAGGACCGAGTCTGAATCTTGCCTCAGACCACAGCAGTCCCACCACTTGACCTCAGTTTCTTCAGCCTCAGTTTCCTCATCTGTACTAAGAGATGACAAAAATACCGTCTACCTCCCTGAGCTGCCGAGGGTCAAACAAGATGATACACAAAGCCCTCGGTAAACTAGCTATCACTCTCTTGGGATTCCCTTGTTCTCCAAGGATCAGCCCCATGAAGGATACTGAGGACCAGGGCGACAAAGGCAATAACGGCAAGAGCGGCGCGGAAGTGAGCTATGGCAAAGTCCAGGGGAGCAGCAGCACCATGGTAGGAGAGGGCACAGTGGAGACAGACAAAGAGAAGCCCTGCTGGGAAGGCAACTCCTGCCCCGATATAGTGCAAAGACTTGGCGTGATCCACCTGCGGCAGGCATGAAGAGAAGGCATTAACCGAAGCTGCCTCCCACGTCTAGTCATGCTGCTGTACCCTCCGTGGCTTAGCCAGGCCAGAGAGCCCAAGGACAAGGGTGCA